GAAACATCGATGCGAGAGTAAAACATGGATTGGTTGCCTCTTGCACGTGCCCTGACCAGGGCCCCGGCCGGGGAGGAGCCTGCAACTGACATACATGCCCTGGACTGGAATCAAACCCGGGACCCTTCAGTTCACAGGCTGGCGCTCTATCCACTGAGCCAAACCGGCTAGGGCAGTACACGTTAGTTTTATACTAGGAAATGATCAATGCTGGCTGCACTAACAAAAAGTAGCTTAGAATCTCAACACTGACTTGTTTAAAATGTTTGTTTTTATTCCTTATAAATGTAGGAAGTCTGTTATTCTTGACGTAAAAGGCTGGGTCTTCGTCTGCATGTTCTCCTTCCGATGATCGTCCTCCAGGGAGAGTACCCTTGTTTCAAGAGCTTTTACTGAGCTTGGTGCTTTTAGGCGACAGTGACATCTTCGGCCTAACTGGTTGCCCTCGTTGATCCTGGGCGCCATTGCTGCCGCAATGACAATGCGAGTGTGTGCCATGGGCCATTAGTCAGTCAGCTGTCCCAGGGATGATGACGTGTACACGAAACCCCAGCCGTTCCCTCGCTGCTGTGGTTCATTGAAACAGCTTCCTCCCAGGTCTCCTTCCCAGCAGCCTCTGCCCCTCCTACAGGCACCAGAGCAGCTTCCCAGGTGAGGCCCAATTCACAGTTGTCCTATGAGTGTCTCGCTGGCTCTCAGGTTCAAATAAAGACTCCTTAGCAGGTCCTATGTATGTAGGCCTCCGACTTCTTGTCTATGCAACCATCTTCTCTCATTCTCCACCTTGCCAACTACGACACAGTTTTCAAAATCGCATCTCTGTCCGTGTTCCCTGTTTCCCTCCTCCTCTCCTGTGCTGTTCCGTAGGTCTGGAGTTCCCTTCCGTTTCTGCCTGTTTGTTATGGGCCCTCCCACCCGGGCCCTCCCACCCGGGCCCTCCCACCCTCGGCCAAAGGTCGTTTCTTCTGAGCAGCCTTTTCCAGCTCCACGCGGCTGGGCCCTTCTCTTCTCCCACAGCCGCTCACCCGGTCCCTGGTGAGCACGTGTTATCCTGTGTTTTAACGCTTCTTCCTGCCTCTGCTGTGCGAGCCTTGGTGGCCAGGACCCTGGTTCACCTCTCTCCTCCGAGCACTTAGCTCAGAGTAGCCGGTGAAACGCTCAGAAGCTGCTTAAAGCAGGAATGCGCTTCGGAACTAGGCACAGTAGAGCCCATGTCATCTTTTCCTAACCGCTTCTTCTATGAAGGAAGATCAAAAGGTGGACCAAGGAAGATGTTCGAAAAGTAATTAGCATAATGCCTGGCACAGAATAACACATATTTGTGTTTTGTTTTTTAAAGCCTTCTCTCTTTACAACCTCATCTAGTTTTTATGTTCCCCACACCTGGTGGCGAATGCCTCGCTGATACCAAAGTCCCCACCCGGTTGGTGCCTCCCTGTTAAACACACAGAGAACACTTCCCAGTCAGCCACCGTTTGTGCTGATCACATGTGCACGCCGTGACTTTTGTACTCACACCTCACCATCACTCACCGCGCTGTTCACCTCCTCCCGGCAGGTGTGCACTCAGCTTGTTTCTCACCTTGAGCTCAGTCATCTGCTGATCACAGAGAAACTATGACTTTCTAACCCAAGGGCGGTCCTTTTTGTAGAAAATGGTTTTCAGTGCTTAGAGTTGGCCTGTTCTGTCAATAGCAATAACAGGGAGCCCTCAGCTTTCCTTCAATGCGCTTTTTCTGCGTTGGGTCTCGGTGCCCTAAGTTGCCTTTCTCATGCACAGCGCAGCCTACAGAGGAGCCAGAGCACAGGCCCGTCGTGCTCACACGTGACACCTGCTGGCCAGTCAGTGCCAGACAGTCGCCACCTTTACCTGCCACACACAGCTTGTTTGTGTAACGATTGGACTGGTTCTGTTTCCTTCCCCTTATTATTTTTAACAAGATAGGACACCCCCCAAGTTCGGGTTTATTAACTTTCTTAACAATCCACAAAAGCAAGGGTTTACTGGCAAACCCTCGCTAGCAATTCTTTCTCAGTGTGAACTGTTTCTTCAGATTCACTGTTATTTCAAAGAAGCTGAAACAGAATCGAAAGAAGGTGTTTTAACAAATCACTTTTTATCTGTATTTGATATTTAGTACATGTTTATTGTAACAATCATTTACACATTTTAACACTCAAGAAAAAAGAAAAAATTATACCATATTTAGTGGCAATAAGTGTTGGCTTTCTGGGAATGTTTTTTTTTTTTTTCATGTAACATGTAAGTGTAATGTTTAAGGTTCGTTTATTTGATTTTTATGGTTGTTTTGAGAAATATATTATGACGAAGAGTAAAGATCTTTTATTTTACTATTGGAAACTCTAGTTTGCCCCCTGCTGCATGATATGTTTATTACAGAACTTAAATAAGAAATCGAAGAAATGGTTTTAAAAAGGAAAACAAACACCCATCAACCAACCAATGGCTATAATGTAGGGTAATCCTTTTATCAGCAGTCTCTCTCAAATTTCCAGAAATTTTAACTTTCTTCCAGAGTATTTTTTCTGCATAAAATCACTTTCTCTGTAACATTTTAGAATTTATTTTATTATTTAGAATTTATTTTTGAAAGGAATGTTAGTTTGTTTTCAATAATTTTATTTTATTATTCTTTTTGCAAAAGTTAAATTTCTCCTGAAATGTGACTGTCTTCATGAGTTATGCACTTGCATTTTTTTTTTTTTGCTAAGTCTGGCATTTACACAAGCTTCTCCGAGATCATTCAAAGGGCTTCTTTAAATGCAAAGTTAGAGTGCGCCCGGCCGGTGTGGCTCAATGGTTGAACATCAACCAGTGAACCAGGAAGTCACGGCTCGATTCCCAGTCAGGGCACATGCCCAGGTTGTGGGCTCGATCCCCAGTGGGGAGTGTGCAGAAAGCAGCTGATCAATGATTCTCTCTCACCATTGATATTTCAATCTCTCTCTCCTCCCTTCCTCTCTGAAATCAATAAAAAGTACAAAATTAGAGTGCATGCTCTGTACTAGACATTCTCTTTCACTGGAGATACAGATCTTTATCTCAGGTGCTCACAGACTGTCAGGCTCAGGCGCTGATAGTGGAGTGAGCAGGCAGGTGGGTCGTGGAGGACATACCAAGGGATGCTCCCAGGAAGTGGCAGAGCTTGAGGGAGCGCTGAAGGATGAGGAGGAAGAAGTGAGTAGATGAGAGGAGTGCAGAGGGTTCAGATGAAGGAGGCAGGGTGGGGCAGGGGACGGAGCTATGAGAAAGCATGCCCTGCTCCAGAAACCGCAGAGTCCATACGCCTCACCTCAAGTAATAAAAGAGGTCAAGGGCAGTCACTGTGCAAATGCCTCCCATGCAGAATGAGTGATTGGAGTCATGTTGGACAAGACAGCACAGACCTGTCCACCTCAGTGGAGACTTAGAGGCTCTCCCAGGCTTTCGGCCAGCAAGCCACCTTCTCTTAAGGCGCTCCTGCCCGCCATGCTCGGTTCTCTGCCTTAGTGCCCCAGCCGCGGAGGTGACTCTGTGTCTGATGACAACAGCACAGCAGCTATTGTGAGGACCTCCGAGGGCTGCCCGGGGGGTCCTGTGAAATGGGACCAGCCTATCACCAGCACAGAGACGTCACTGGGTCCTCATTCCCTGCCGAGCTAAAGCCACACCCCTCACGGGAGTCGAGATCCTCTGCCATCTGCCTCTCGCATGCCCTCCGTCATTAATTTTCAAGAATGTGGTAAGAATACGGTTTTTGGAGTTAGGCTCTCGGGTGTGAATTTTAACTCTGCTACCCAAGCTCTGACATAAAAATTACAGTTTCCCTCTGCGTTAGTGTCTTCATCTATGACATTGGGGTCACACCACAAGTGTTTTTCAGAATGCAAAAGGGTAATATGTCTTGGGTAATTAGTATAATAAGCATCATCTAAAATGACTGACTATGTAATAATTTTATAATTCTTCACTTGTTTCAGGCATTTAAAATATATACCTTTAATCTTAAAAGTATTTAATTTGAATACTTAATGTTCTCTGGATGTATCCTGTGGTTTTGGTTTTTATACCTTTTAGAATCACTGTCAGACAGAATTCTACTTGGCCTAGCTCAGATCTCACCGTGTTCAAAAGCCTTCCTCAGTTCCCTTCATTGAAATGATTATTCTTTCATTATTGTGACAGAAATTGGTGCCTCTGATACAGAACAGTATTACATCCAATGGGAAAAGACATTCTATAATTTACATTCAATTGATTTGTTAGTTTATAGTGAGCATTTACTAATAACATAACAGTTATATTGAGAAATTCTATTATGGTCAGATAAGTGAATTACTCTGAATTTAAATTTATGAATGAATCCATTTTCCTCTATTATATATGTAATGCTAAAGATGATATTCACCTAGAACACAGTGGGGAAATTTTTCCTGAATGTGTGATTGTGCACCAAAGAGAAAACAAAACACTTTTTCTTATCACAGGTTTTATTGAAGAAACATATAAAACATCAGTACATTAGTAATACATTGCATACAGGAAGATCTAATCAAAAAGGAATTTTTGAAAAATTTTTTTTATGAAACAAGTTTATAAATACTCTGCTTCCTATAGTCTTTCTTTCCCTTCACCTGATAGAACTTTTCTAAGACAACCCATTTATTCATTTAACAATGCTATCCCCTCAAGTAAACATGCAGGGCCGGAGATATGACCTGAACTACCTTCTGTTATACTTATTTATCTGTTACATCTCCTTTCCTGGCTTCTGGATTTATTTTTAAGCTGGAACGTGAGTGCTGTGTCACCTTTACCTCTTAGGTAAATCAGTAGCGTACCTCTGAAGCACTGGACGGGACGTCCTGCTTGCTGGGGATGATGTTTTTAAAATACTGATTTCAGAGGCGTGAGTCCCACATGAGCGACGCTGATGACCTGGGAGTGAGGGAGGTTCCTCCTCACTGGTGGCGTGGAGGGAAAATGAAATGGCTCTGGTCTTGCTTCCAGGGATCGCGCGGAGGGAGCAGCCACCGTCAGAGGTAGATTGCCTCTGCGAGCACCTTACATCTTTGCGTATTGATAGACGGAGGAGAAAAAGCCCACAGAAGAACTTTCTCGCCCTTCTCACAAGTGGTTTTACCTAATTTGAAAATTTTAATCTGTCAGTACTATTTTATTCATAATTTTTCACATCTAATACTATTTTTAGTTTTAATTCCATTGTCACCTTCCATTTAATTATTTACTAATTGTTTCACAATGTTTAGAATGACTGGCCTAATAGAATAAAAATTTCAAAAAAATAGGTCAGCATATGGCATGGGCCTGAACGCGTACAGGTGCTACTGAGTGTTAGGATGGCCGTGGCGCCGTGCTCTCTGGCCGTCTGTGGATTTCACCTAACCATGGAGTAACAGAATGTGGCGGAGTCTCGGCATGAAGCCTAAAGTAAGGAGTGGCTGTGATGACTGGCAATACATGCAATTTGGAACTGATTAGAAAACATGTAAATTACCTGGCATTGCACTGTTTTAGCCATTCTGCACTTTAACCACAAAACCTTTTTTATTTTCTCGAGGGAGACTTTTTCCTCCAACTAGACAATAGCAAAGACCATGCAATAGGCCAAATGAGGTCCTCTCCATGTCAGATGCAGTTCTAGTCTTACATAGCACACTGGCCAGGGCACCCGAGCGAGGGGTTCAAGTTTGGTACCACAGCTGCTGGTTGTGATCACTTAATGTCTCCATTCTAGATTCCTTTTCTGTAAAATGAGAGAATTGGGCAAGAGTATATGTGAGAGGCCCCCGATTTTACAGTAGTTTTATTTATAAAGGAAGAAGCACCAAAATTATTTTCTTCCAAAGGAAAAGTCCCTGAAAATAAGTTTATTTCATTTACACGATCTTACGAGTCATAGTATAGCTACTACTATATAGTTTACATATTTTATAGAACTAAATAAAACAATCTCACTCGAGTTCTTTTTCTCAAGCAGCTTTGAGCGCACTAACAATAAGCAACCTGTACATGTGTTTCCACTGCACTCCCCCAGTAGAAGGAGCAGTGTTTAAAGGAAAAACAGCTTGGTAATGGTCTAAATACTAATTATTTTTGGTGGGAACTCAGACATGTATCTTCAGAGTTTTGTTCTAAGTCTTGATATGAATTAGAAGTACTACGAAGACAGCAATCATGCCTGTCCTCCTCCCTATGTATGCACAGAGCCAAGGTCAGCACTCAGCATAGAGCAGCTTTTCAGTTGCTGAATACACGCACTTACAGAGGTGCTTCTGGAGATGATCTAGTTACCAAATAAAAACTCTATGGCTCAGGTCAATGACACTTATTAAACCATAATCCGTATGTTCTTCTGACATAAGTAGTGAGAGCAGGGAAAAAATTCTCTGTAATGGGGAAAAACTCTCCTACTCTACTGCTTCCCTAAGAACCGTTTATACTGTGGTGTTTTCATATTTTGTTTTGCTATTCTAATTGCTATTTACAATTAATGATACAAATCAATAAAGTGCAACAAAAATTAATCCATATTGATTTATGTATATATGTATAGATATATAGGTGCATATATATTGCTAGCCCACTTTCAGTGATGCATTTAGCTGGCAAACTCTTTCCCTGTATTATATTAAGCATGCCCTAAATATTTCATATCTTGAGAAACCATTTGAAGAGACAAATGATTTTATTTTTCTATTGCTAAATGCCCCATCTTCCTTTTCAGTTTCCTTTCAGAAATGTATACTTTATTCACTTTTTCAATTAAAATATTTAATAGAGATAATTCTCTAAAGACACAAATGTCTGGTGAATGCAGACAAGACTCCTTTTGCAACCTACAAGGACAAGGGCATCTGGGTTTACACGACCAGATGCACAGGCCCAAAGACCTCTAAGGTTCGCCTAATGAGTTATGTGCTCTTTATTAGACAGTATCAAAGGACATAACACATTTCTTCAAGTGTTTTTGGCATATTATTGAAAGTCAGAAATAATTTAAAAAGGCTTATCTAAAGTTCTCAGCCATATTTATCCCCCAAAAAGATGTAATCAAAGAATGCCATTACATTTTAAAAATTTGAGTATTTGTTGACTAGTTAAATGTTAAATAGAGTACATTATACATCTTTGATGGATATGTTGGTGATTCCACAGGGCAAGGAATACTGACCATAAAGCGCTTACTGTTGGGAGTAATGTATGTTACTATACCGTGTTACTCTATGTCGAGATGTCATTGGGGATGTGGAACCAATGGTTCGGCTTATGTGAATATCCGGAGGACTCACCATTTGTGTCACTTGAATTTCTGGCCCTACTAAAATACTGCCACTCATCACAGGTCCCATGCAACCATCAGTCATGCTACCACTCCTCATGTCAGGCACGCCAGGACTAGACACTACTCTCTCTGTGTAGATGACATTTTGTGCGTTGGCTAACTCAGCTGGTACGCAAAGATTCCCTTGAACATCATAGACAGGTGTCATTACCGTTTCCGTTACTACAACATTGGGTGCAAGCTGAGGATCGAAAACGATTGTGGTGGGCTGCATACACTGATCGGTAGTCGTGTAGGTCTCAGTCACTACAATATCCCCGTGGATCATGGGTTCAGGCATTGCCATTTCTGCTTGGAATTCAGCCTCTGAGAGAGTCATTCCTGAAGATTCATTCACAAAGTAATTAGGCCCGAGCAAAGGGAGATCCGTACTGATAGGTATACAGGCTTGGTGTGAGGGAAATGGTTCAATTTCCGTGTCTAAGCAGATTTCAGCAAGAGTTCTAAACTTGGGATCTAAAGTTTCCATGTAGTCTTCATCCAGATCATCCACAATCCAACTGCAGCAGCCGATCGAGCCCACAGGCGACCCGACTCCCTCGTGGTCATAAATGAGCAAGCAGTCGTTTGCTGGCCGACCTTCATCTTCATCTGCATAGACATACGCTTTCTGAAATTAGAAGAAAAATGGAAAGTTAGAAGTTTCCTTTCCCTTTAAATGATCAGTGCCTTAGAGGCATCTGATTTAAGATTTTATGGAATGAACCTAGGAAAACCCTGATTCTTTGCTGTCTTTCTAAATAATTGGCATTGTTGAAGGAGATCACTGTGCATTAATGGTGCATGGATTTAGAATAAATGTGTATTATCTTATTTGAACGCTGACAAGTGATCATTTCTACATTTTATTCAGAGTATGAATCAAAGACAGTGTGTTAACCATTTGGATTTGTAGTCTTTGTTTCTGAGATGGTCAAGAAATAATAAAACATATCAAGTTACATTCAAAATATTATTTAAGGAGATATATTTGATCAACTTAGAATAAAAGCAAGGATAAAGATGTAAATATCTCTAAGCTTCAGAGACTTGATCAGGATGTCAATGGAGTTTTGTGGTCTGAGTGGAAAGACCTGGGGTCTCTCTGGAGTTAGGCTAACAGGTGAGGGCACAAGGAGGTAACCTGCTGTGATCGTCAAGTGAAATCCTAGGGAGGAGCCATGAAAGTGGAACTTTTCTGTTTGAAGGGGGGGTGGGGGTGGGGATGGGGGTGGGAGCAGAGACCTGCCATTCTCTCCCCCTTTCTCTAACCTGCCATGGCCCTTGGTGGGTCCCATGGAATGCTATAGGGCCTGCCTAGCACCATCTGAATCACCTGATATAATCTGACCCCTTCTTTATTTTATTTATTTAAATGTTTTTATTGATTTTTAGATAGAGAGGAAGGGAGAGGGAAAGAGAGAAGAAACATCAATGATAAGAGAGAATCATTGATTGGGTGCCTCCTGCACACCTCTCACAGGGGATGGAGCCTGCAACCCAGGCATGTGCCCCACAACAGACATGTGCCCTGACTTGGAATTGAATCAGTGACCTCTTAGTTCCTGGGTTGATGCTTAACCACTGAGCAACACCGGCCAGGCTCCCCTCTTTGTTTTATAAATAAGGATACTGAAGGCCCAGAGAGGGGCAGTGGCATGCCCCCAAACCCAAGTAACTGTGCACTACAACTTTAAATCCAGCTTTCCTTTTTATACCACATCATGCTGCTTTTCCTCTGGTCTGCACCAGCATCCAAATGCTACCGCTAGGAATGGCTGATTTTAGGTCTTGAAGTCAATTATTCATGAGATCGGCATTACCTTAAAACTCTGCGGGTTAATATTTAAAAGGCAGGTGGGTGAGAGGAGCATCCTTTGGCATGGGGCACTCGTCAGCTGCCCGGTGGCTGGTGCTGATGTAACAGTGACAGCAAAGAGGCCTGGGCTTTGCTCCTCAGAGGCTGAGGGGGGCCGGAAGGCGGAGGGGGGAGGGGGAAGGGGCTGTGTCTCACGGCCTCTGAAATCTAGGGCCACTTGTAAGTGTAGAGCTGAAATGTTTGGGGGAGGACGACCTCAGTGCTCATAGAGAAAGGAGAATGCATTTAGTTTTCCTTTGTCCTGTAAAGCACCGACTGTAACCATAGGGACACATGCCCAGGGCAGTTTGACATTCATGGTAAAGTTCCTTTGATGTTAATGAGATTCTAGGAGTGATTTGTTAAACATCACTTCTGTGACACGTGCCATTTGTTCCCATCTGTGGAATGCACTCTGTAGTACCGATCACACATTGAAATAACCTGTACTATTCATGCGCAGTCTGCCATCATATTTGTAACCACCAATTTTAAGATACAGCTTACATGACAACAGCACCCTTTCAATGTTTTGTGATGAGCAGTGGTGCAATTGGTGTGTTACCCTATGGGGAGTGAAACAGGCTGGGTGAAATATGAGATAAAAGGGAAGGCTCAATAGGTGAAGTAAACATGCTAAGTAGCGATTCACAGGAGGGTGTATTTACTCTGTGTGCTGCCCGCTGGGCCATCCAGTGATGAGGGGGTTTCCCTTTGGAAGATCACAGCCCCTGTTCCTTCTCTGAGTGAGGACACTGGTGGGCGGGGCCCTGGTCAGAGAAGAGGAGCCCCGGGTTCTAGGCCCTGACCTGGCGCCAAGTCCTGGGGCTGCTCTTCTTGAGTGACCACCCCTTTCCTTTCCCAATCCTGGCTCTCACTTTATTTTTCTCCCTTCTGCGGGAACCACCTGCCGAGCAGGAAGGATGCCATCAAGTGAGGACACAAATACATAGATCTTTTTCTTAGTCAGGATCTTGCTGCTGTGTGGTTGCTAGGGGCAACAAAGTGGGAAAACTGCGAGGAAACAGAAAAGTGGAAAGAAGGACGAGGAGAATGAGGAGAGATGCCAGCCTTTCTCGTGGTAGTAAATGTGTTATGTCAGTCATGTGAAATGCTTCCCCACACAGCCTCTCTGTCTGATGCTGGAGGGGTAAGGTGAAGACCTGCACCCACTGCCGGTTGCTGTGGTTCAGCCTCAGCCTGCTTCCTGGGTGATGGGTGTGTGTGTGTGTGGGGGGGCGGGGTGAGGGGGTATGGGGATGTGTGTGGGGGTGGGGTGGGGGAGGTGGATTACCTCGGAGAAGTAGCTGTCCAGGAAAGCCAGGTTCAGGCCCACGTCTGCCTGCTCCCTCTGGGGGCCCAGCATGGAGCCCCTCCTCCTCAGGGTGCCCCCGGCCCCAGCGGCCAGGCCGGTGGTGCCCAGCCCGGTGTTCAGCTCCATGCCCGACACGCCCCCTTCCACCGTCCCGCCGGCCGCGTACGTGTTCGTGTAGATGTCTGTGGGGAGAAGGAGTTCAGTGCTGGAGTTGTCTGCTTTGTGTGTCCAAGGAAACCACTGCGGGGCTGTCTGTGGGGCTGTCTGTGGGGCACCCCGACGCCCCACAACCAGGTGAGGTGCCCTTGGCATCACAGCCACCCCTCCAGGCTGGTGGAAACCAGGGCGGAGGGAGCAGCTGCCCGATGGGCTCTCACTGTGCATGCACTTGGCCCCTAGACTGAAAGTGTGACCAGCTGGGGAGGGAGGCCCCTGTGCCCGCACCAGTCAGTGCCGTCAGTGCTGCCTCTGGCAAGCTCCCCGCCAGCCCAAGGTTTGCGCCCTCTCCAGAACCTTCCAAAGCAGGGCAGTGATGTGTTTGCGGGAAGGAGCTCACAGTCCCGGTTCACCCTGGTGCTGGGGGAGAGCTGGCTCTCCCAGGAGCGTTCATTCTCCCCAGCCTCTGACTTGGGACACTGAGGAACCATCTCTGAGAAATCTGGGGGTTGGGAGAGGTCTGGGGGCTGGGAGAGGGCCGGGGTTTGGGAGGGGTCTGGGGGCTGGGAGAGGTCTGGGCAGCCTCTCTGCTTGTTGGTCCTGCCCAGTGGCTGTGTGTTTGCAGGAGTCTTGGGTATGTGTGGGCCTGGTGAGTGAGGAGAGTACAAGATTTGTGAGGCAAATGCATGTGTGAATTTAAGAAAAGTCCTTCAATGTATTATTTAAAGAACATATTTGCTGACTTTTTCTTTCTTTTTTTTTTTTTAACAGTCTCTTATAAATAATGGCTACAGTATCACTTACTCTGTACTAGGCATTATTGGAATATATACTTCATGATACACACATATACGCATATTCATATATCACATATGTCATACATATATAGTATATCCTATACATAATGTACAGGGTGACCCCTCAAAATATATACACACTTTAAGAGCTGACAGCTCAATTTTGAAAATGAAATGTATTTTAATGAACACTGCCTTTATAATTATACACGTTTGGGAACACCCCATGTGTGTGACATATACACATAAGCATATGTGTGTGTGTGTGTATCTGTGTGTATATATGTGTGTGTGTATATGTGTGTGTGTGTGTGTGTATATATATATATACACACACACACACACACACACACACACACATATATATGTGTGTGTATCTAATCTAATAATAGACAAACATGGTAATTGACCATACCTTCGCTATGCTTCCCATTGGCTAATCAGGGCGATATGCAAATTAACTGCCAATAAAGATGGCAGTTAACCGCCAACAAAGATGGCAGTTAATTTGCATATGTAGGCACAATGATGGGAGGTGAAAGGGGAAGGACAGTGATTGGAGACCCAGGCGGCAGGCAAGAGCTGGATAGCAGGGCAAAGGCGTCCCTGGGGGCTGCCTTTGCCCACCCCCCAGCCGGTGATTGGAGAAGCCAGAGGGGGGCCAGCATCCGCCTCTTCCCTGCCCCCCCCCCCCCCCCCCCCCCCCCCCCGGCCATGGATCAGCAACCGGAGAAGCCGGAGGGGGGTCAGGGAAGAGGCCAGCAGCTGCCAGTGTTCGAAGAAGTACCTGTATTTTTTTTTTCAAAGTACCTGTATTTTTAATAATTTCTTGACATGGTAAAAGAATTTTACATTATGATCCAAGGGTGGTGGGGTGAGGAGAAGGAGCAGCAGAACAATCCAACAAACAAAAAGGGAAACAGAAATGCATGGTGGAAGGGATTTGAAGGGTGGATAGGGGCATTGCCCAACTAAAATGCAATTGGTTTGTTACTGAGTACAATTCATGGGAAGAGAGCATCCTAACTCCTTCTCTATACAGCATATTGGGAGTAAAAATGATGCATCCAGGTGGAAATATGATTAGGGGTTGGAAGACAGACAGGGAAAGAAGAAATCAGAAATAGACACTGAGTCACTGGGTGGCTGACTGCAAATACTGACTGTCCAGTAGTGATAGAATAAAAAAGTGGGGGATATCTCTGGAAGATTCAAGAGAAAGGGGGCAACTCTTCTATGGTTTTGAATTGCCAGGCAGATTTCCACATACACACGTGTACATGCCTATGTTTGCATGCACACACATATACACATAACTGACTGCCCCCCTGGAAGCACAGAAGAAGAAGCTGCCAGAAGAAGAAGCCACCCACCTTTGGTCTAGGCGCCAGCACCTGTGGCTGGCTGCAGCCCAGGAGATGGACAAGCTACCTGCCCGAGGTCCCAGGCTGCAGCCACCCTGAGAAGCTGCCAGCCCTGTGGTCCAGGGCGCCAGCGCCTGTAGCCAGGGAAATAGGTTCCCTCTTCTCCTACTACAGTCATTACTTCAGTATTCCCCTTCTGAATTTCTCTCCTGTGCTGCAACCCAACGCCACTTTTTATCGAAAGGATACGGAACAGAGAGAGCAGTGTTAAGAGCTTACATTTTTAAGCCGGTAAGGTTGGTGCTTAAACATATAAATAGAAAACTAGAGTCCTTAAGGTAACAAAGGCTACAAAGGACAGGGACAGCACATGACCTATTATATCCAGCAATTCATATGGGGACTGAAAACTTTGCAATAATGACAATTAGTGAAGATATGAATCAACTAAAATAGTTGACAGGGACAATTCTTCCATCTTTGAAAATATCTACATCAAATCTGTTTAAATAGATTTTCATCTGCATAATATAACACATTCTGACAAGACCACCACCACCACCAATGTGGTCAGTGTTGTGCCAATAAATGTTTAATAACTGAGGCCCCCCCCCCCCCCCCCCCCGCCGAGTGCACAAATTTTTGTGCACCGGGCTACACACACACACACACACACACACACACACACTCTTCACAGCAACACTTTGAAGGAGGTGCTCTCATAAACTGAATTTCAGTGATGAGAAAAGTGAGGCCCAGAGAGGTTGAGTGTTTTGTCCAGGAACTTATTACTGCTAAGATGCAGAGCTGGGAATCACACCCACGCATTCTGGCTCCAAAATTCACCATTTAAAATGCTACCCTACACCTCACTGCCTGCAGTTTAAGATAGAAAAACGAAGTGGTCACTTCTCATATACTGTCATATTGAGGGGATCAATAGATATGCTGTTTTTATAAAGGTAATTACACATGAGGTTTATCTGGCTTAGTAATTTTGCAAATTTTAAAATTGTGGCGTCCACTTACCGGAGGAATCCATACGATCCTGCGTGTTAGAAGCGGTTATTGGTACACATATATTTGACACATCCTGAAAAGACAAAATATATTTTAAAAGGAATGTTTTATGTTAAATATTTAAAATGGACATCTTTCTATTTTCGTGGGCTGTGTAACTATCAAGATGTGCTCGGTTTCCATGGAAATGCCGTGTGCTTGTACTCACCCTGTCCTCAGGATGGGCCCCTTCTATTCTCCAGGACTGGATCACTCCTTCTCCGCCCTCGGGCACCGGGGCAAACCTGGTCCCCAGGCCCTCTGGCTGCCTTCGCTTGCAGCAGCATATGAGCAGCAGGAGCGGCGATACTGCCAGGAATGCAAAAGGCAGAGTCAGCAGGTGGCTCAGCGTAGGGAGTCACAAGCGCTTCATTTTGCAGGAAATGTGGCATTATATTTAGAACCAGAGGATGGAGACAAATGTAAGAGCATCATTTCCCCCTAAGAGATTGAGAGTACACATCCATGTTTATAAATACAAACCCGCCAACTCACATAGACTGTTAGAGCTGGAACGAAGGGAGGTTAGACCATGTAGTCTGGGCCCTTTCCTGGCAGATTAGAAAAGTAAGTCTTTCCTCTCGTCCGAGATTCCTGAACTGGGTGGTAGCAGATTTAGGATTCAAATCAAATGTTAGGATTCCTAGTTCCCCATAAATGCATGCACATTTATAGATGTGTATTTATTCACAAGTAATCATCTGTGCATGTGTATGCATTTATAAGCCTATCTATGTGTAACTATGGATTAACATTTGAGGAAATACATATTAACCTCCCTGGTCATGTGTGTGCCTACAGGTCCCTGGATACGTGTATGTGTACACACACACCATCCTCTTTCTAAGAAAATCCTCACTTTTTAGGAAGTGGTTCAAAGTCACTTCCACCAGAAAGACTTGCCCGCCCTTCCCCTCGGACTTAACTGCTCCTGCCGCTCCGCTCTTGAAGCCTCTGCTGCAGGTCTCACTGGAAGGCTTACTCTGTGCTCTGCTGTGTTATACTTAGACTTGCACGTGTTCCCCATCTTTGGGACCCTCACTAAGTCTAGACCTCTTTAGTCACCGCTATTGAACACGTACATGCCCTCACCAGCTCCTTTGTTTAGTTCCGGATTTTCACAAAAATTGCCACAGATAATAAAGGGAAATGACCAAATGAACGCAAGCCTGGTTCCATTCTTATTTGGGAGAACTATTGCGAAGAGGGGTTTAAGCCGGTACTTACAGAGCAGTAGTAGGAGGCCCAGAGCAATCATGCCAATCCCTGCTGGTCCCAGGCCAACATTTGAACCCTCAATGCGGTCGCCAGGGACAGGCCCATATATGTCACTGGTAACTGAGCTGCTATCCCCGGTGTAGATGCCCGGAGTGCTGGAGTGCAAGCACGTTTGGCTGATGTCACAGTCGCAGGCCTCTATCTTCACCGTCTGCGGCAGTTCACACGCCCGGTTGAAGCTGTCCTTCACCAGGATTGGGATTTGGTAAGCTCCCACTGACAGCGGCTGCCCAGCCATCAGGAGGGCAGAGGTAGCTGCAAGGGAGGAGAGGAAAGAGAAAGAAATTAAATCACTTGCTGGTGACCCTTCCTAATACTCATGCCTGACTTAGGGCCTGATCCCTTAGTCATAGAGCTCCCTCTACTTACTAAGAAACAAAACAGAGAAACACTTACAATGAATTTTTAAGACTTTTCCTGCTGGATTGTTATCTGTACAAAGACAACAATACTTGGCCATAATATGAACGCAATAGATATTTGTCCAATGAAGGAAGAGTATTGAGCTGAGAGGAAATATTGGAAGTCTTCAATTAAGGATTACAATTTACAAATATCCTCCCTAAAACTGTTGTTTATCTCTTATTCAGAATCATTGCCCTTTCATTTAAAATTATTCCAGTAACTATTGTTTTTTTAATTCTTTGTGCTATTATTGCTTATTGATTTTCTATAGAAACTATTGCTTAAATATTGATTGAAATTTATTTATCAACCCAAGGCATTTTGAAGATGATTAAATTTACACTTAACACATGAATAGTAATTGATTAATTCATGGCACTCAATAATAATAATAATTATTGCTTATTACTTTCAGTTAGCTATATGATACACCACCTAGTTGTACCAAAATTTAGCCTGGGCATAAAGTAAGACCTGAATAAAGCTGTGAAATAGTGGCATGTTAGGTGAAAACTTACTCTGTTCTTCGACACCAACATTGAAACAGGGCTCTGGGAATATTATCTCTAGTGTCATATATAAACTAGAGGCCTGGTGTGTGGAATTCGTGCACTTGGGGGGTTCCTCAGTCTGGCCTGACCCTTTTCGCAGTCCAGGAACCCTTGGGGGATGTCCGACTGATGGCTTAGGCCCACTCCCTGTTTCTGGTTGAGCGGTGCTCCCCCTGTGGGGAGCGCACAGATCACCATGGGGCAGCTCTTGTGTTGAGCATTTGCTTCCTGCTGGTCTGTGCACGTCATAGAGACCAGTTGTTTTGCAGTTTGGTCAATTTGCATATTAGCCTTTTATTATATAGGATATATATGTGTGTGTGTGTGTGTGTGTGTGTGTGTGTGTATATAACTGGCAAATCTGTAATATCATTGAATATCATTACCAATCTCCATGTTGAACATTCTTATATTTTTTACTCATCGTGTTTAGGATCTGAAAGACGAAAATGTGGCTAGAAATTATTGTTTAAGAATGGACTATTGGACTTTATAGGGAAAGGTGAATTCAGAGTTGTCTTAATTTTAATAGAATTGCTTTAATATGCTTAGCTTTCTAAAAGATTACAGTGGTTTTGTGGAGATGAGCAAAAAGGTTTTATGGGGAAACATTTCTTTCTTTGGCTAAGTCCCTAGTGGGGGCATTTTCCCCAGCATTAGTTTATGGTTTCTCCTTCCTGTGGATGGAGAAGCTTGGTGACCTCAGAAAGGGGAAGTGTTTGCTCTCACCTTGGGCTCTAGCATATGACCTCCACCCTCCCACCACCCACCCCTGCCTCCAAAGTCTTTCCTATTTTACCAAGTGACTATGAGATTAGGCAGCCAGCTTAGACCAAATGAGGCCCTCTCTGAGCATTTCACTTTCTAATTGACATTTAACATTTCAGGGAAAAGAACCTAAAGTATATTAAATATTATGTTGCCTGAAATTTACTCTTCATTTTAATCATTGCTTTCATTTTTATGTAGCAAAAATACTAACACACATACATTCTGGGATATTTATACTTTACATACTTCAGTTGATGCATTCCTTTGTATCTAAATGCTTCATATAATTCTAATTTTAATGCTGCTTAGTACTACATCTTAATATGTACCAGACTTTGCCTAACCATTCATCTAATATTGCACAATTGGATTTAAATTTTTATTCTTACAAATAAGTGTGAGCTCATAGCTCTTTATAGAAACAACTAGAGGCCTGGTGCACGAATTTGTGCACCAGTGGGGTCCCTTGGCCTGGCCTGTGGGATTCAGCCAAAACCAGTTCTCCAACATCCCCTGAGGGGTCCCAGATTGCAAGAGGGTGCAGGCCAGGCCTAGGGAACCCACCAGTGCATGATCAGGGCCAGGGAGAGACTCAGGAGGGCTCCAGGGCATGTCTAGCCCATCTTGCTCAGTCCCGAACGGCCAGATCCCAGCAGCAAGTTAACCTACTGGTTGGAGCCTCTGCCCCTTGGTGGTCAGTGCACGTCATAGTAGGTGATTAAGTGGCCTTAGCATATCATTAGCATATTATGCTTTGATTGGTTGAATGGACAACTGAACAACTGGACACTTAGCATATTAGGCTTTTATTATATAGAATTTCTTTGACCTAATATGCTTCTAAGTGAGTAGAAAATGTGTAGATGTAAATCTATGGCATACCTGAGTTTCAGAGACATTTAAGTGACTTGCCTGAAATAATTTAGGCTAGGGAATTGTGACATCTGGCAAGTTTGTCAAGAGTTCTGTTTATTTCAAACTGATAAAATATTTGTGTAGCACCCCATCTATATAAAATAATGGCTAAACTGATCTTTACATACTACTATTTGTAAATGCAGCATTGATAAGACATTTTTACTTTTATTTCAGTTCAACATTTTCCCAAATAGTGTAAATGTGCATATTAATTTTTTTCATTTAATATGAATATGGTGAGAATTATGGAAACAGAGATAGAAAATATGACATGGCTTGACTAATTACTGGTAATTGTTTTTGCTTTTAGTCTTTAAAGTGAGCAAGTTTGCATTCCACTTACCATTTACTGGTTTGATATCCCATAAGTTAGCTGTCCCTGGTGGCTGATCAACAACACAGAAGGTAAAGGGAGACCCGTAAGAATGATGGTTAATGTCTCTCGCGGATATAAGGATGGATGGAGAGGCGGTGCAGATGGCATTACTTTCAGCAACAATGACTGGACAGTAGTCATTGACATCAGGAACTTCAATGCAGATGGTTCCCGTAGCCGTTTTCCCAGAGCCATCTGGAAGGGCAAAGCATCATGGGTGTTGGGATGAATGGTGTCAGGGGGAAATTTCTTTCTCACATCCCCTGGCAATGCCACAGCACATAGGAGCGGTGTGAGGGACTCCTGAGATGGAGCGTGATGGGTTCCTGCCTACGTCACGGCCCTGAAGCCACCTGGCCTCTGCTCACAACCCTCCAGCCACCCTGCCTTCTTCCCAGTTTTTCGGACTAGTTTCCTTCTAACTCAAGACTCCTTGACATCCTAGTCACCCTTCCTAAAATGCTTTCACCTCCGTCTTACTCTGCCAACTCCTCTGCATCCTAAGATGCAAAAGGAAATGTCCTTCCTAGAGAAGGTTTCCTGCTGTCCATTCCCACCCCGTCCCCGTAACGGAGACAGCTCCGAGCCTCCATTTCAGGATGCTTATTGACTCCTGGGTTATTGAAATAACCACAATTGAAATGAAATAACTACTTGTCTATACTTTTCCTTTCCATTTGTTTAATTCCACCCATTAGATGCTATTTCTCTCGGAGAAGGTACTTCAGAAAACAAATATAAAAATATTTTATTTTTTCCCCCCTAACCTCTTTGGAATAAATTTTAGGTTAGTATAGTTTATCAAAAAGGGCAAGGTGCCAGGAAATAGTAGGCTGGGTTTAGTTCACTTTTCTACTTTTATGTTCTTTTACAATGAATAAAGAATTATTTTGTTTTTAACTTGTGAAGGGTCTTAGTTTCATCATTTGTAAACTAGAACATTATCATCTCGGGTATTTTACTAGCTCATTTTTGGAGAAGTTAACTTCTCTTAAAGACGATTTTTGTGTGCCTAAGTGGAGAGCCATCTGGTCAACCACAGGAGAATAGACTGGAAGGCTATCCGTACCCTGCATGGTTTTATGCAGGAGGTTCTTGATTCCTGCTTCAGCTTGGACTTTCCAGGTTTAGGCTCTCATTAGAGAGCCACCGGGCCATCCCACAGCTGGTTGTCTGTGTCCTTCTCTGGCCTCCAGGGCTTTCTCAGGGCCGTTGGATGTGGCAACCCACAGCTCAAGTTATTGCTGACAGTGTTTGCTCCGGTGTCCTTTGCTACATAAAGAGCTGTGGCCCCTCATCTTTGAACAGCCTTATCTGAACCCCTAGGAGGCCTCTGTGCCAGGGCATACACTCTGCTTATGAATAAACGATGGCCTTGTGTGTAGTCTTTTGTCCATAAATTTTTGATAGTGTTTTTCTCTTTCTTTATTCACTTGAAATGACTAATTTTTATCCTAGTTTTTGAAGACTTTCACATATGACCAATGGACGACCTTAGGTTCTGATCAGCATGCTGAGTCCATATCAGAAGAGGCCTTCTAGAATTCTGATAATAAATGAGGCGATGTTGTTTCTGTAACTGTCCCAGATGTGAAATGCGACACTCACAGGATGAAGACCAGAATGTATGTGTTGTAATTGCTTGGGCATTACCATGGTTTCTTTTATAATCTTACGCTGCCCATTTATCTCTCTCTTTGTTTACTATTGTAAAGCTCAGATATAAACTTAGTGCAAACCTGCAGTATCTGTCTTCTGATAGGAATGTGTCTGGGACTTCTGTTTTCCTCCCTTGCCGGTTACTGACCTTTTGTGTTGTTTTGTTATGCAGTGGTTGGTTTCCTAGGCAGTACTCCTGGGAATCATTAACTATTGATAAACAAATGTCTGTTGCTACTCACCTAGAGGAAGGCCTAATAGATTTTCCCATGTGAAAAGCAGCTCAGGGACAAGTTAATTCAGTTCATCTGTGCTGAGGACTTCTAGTTTGGATCTTATACAGTGGGGCCTTGACTTATGAGTTTAATTCTTTCCGAGACCGTGCTCCTTAAGCTCGTTAAGGAGCTCGTTAACTCAAATTACTCTGTCAACTCAAAGCAAAAAATCTGCGGAGAGACAGCTGGTATCTCAAAAAACTCGTTAGTTGGGACACTCATAAGTCAAGGCCCCACTGTATTTGCAATAGGTTCTTGGTTCTTAACATCTTACTTGGGCAACATGTCTAAGAAGCGGCACTCATGCAGGCCTCCAGGTGGCTCAGCGGCAGTGACTGCAGTGGCACCGCCTTTCCTGCAGCTGGTCCCCAGTGAGCTTTGGGCACATCTTGCCGCACTTGTAACATTCCCAACACACTGCAGATCCGGCGAACCATCTCAAGTGATAAGGCCATAAACAGAAAATGAATTTTCTTTATATGTTTTAACTTTTTTGCTTTACACTGTCTGATACAAGTCTTTTTTAGAAGCAGGTGAAATAAATTATGACAAATGTAAATTGTGGTTGTAAGTGTACTGAATTCAGTTCTTGGTCTAAGGCACTTAGACCTCTGTAAATCTTGTAGACACCCCTGAATGATATATTTTATTTGAGTCAATCTTCTACCAACATTAGAATAATATTCGTACTTAATGCAAACTAATAATTTGATGAAAGCATTGAATATAAATTTCTTACCATCTATAGCCAGGATCTCTGCTGTGTATATCCCATTGGTAATATATTTTGACTTCTTATCAAATTCCCTAGAAAATTGTATCTCGCCAGTCCTCGAGTCAACTTTTAACCAGCTGCCAGCATCATGTCCTATGATATACCTGTTTTTAAGGAAATAAGTTCATCATTTGCTTAAATGAAAGTTAATAAGTTTAGTCACACCCAATGCATTAAACTTATATATGGTGTTTGCTGCTTTACAGTAACAATTGATTTGGATTATAAAATGTATCTATGTCAATAAAATTCTGACATTGAACATATTAATGCACAGAGTTTTAAAATTTCATAATTTTTACTCCTTACTTCTTTATATAATTGTTCATAAAATGTATAAGTCTGTTTCAGGTTTGTTTATTAAATCATAGCAATATCAAGGAAATATCCTTTATTCATTCACATGGATGTATCAGTTGCTCCTCAGTTTTAAGGTATATTGGTTTCAGAGCACTTCATTGTTGGCCTTTCAGAGGTTGTGGTATCATTTATTCCATTAGTGTATATGGGTTTTGTGACTTATAATTGATTCAAAGTGCTTGGGCGAAGATCTTTCGTCTGCACCAGGCACAATTTTAAGTTCCCATGGCCCTTATCTGACATCCCCTTTTCCTCTATCCCATACTGACGACTCCATAAGTGTTGATGTCTTTTAATTTGTTAGCTGATTAAATAATCAAAATTGTTCCAATCGAAGCAATTTCTAAGTCAACAGATTGTTCACTCAAAAAATATTGGGTGTAAGAAGGGAGAAAAGAAAAGGATATAAAGAATATTTATATATTTCACTATAGTTATTTTCCAGACTATCTTATATAGGTCTAACTCATGTATAATATATATACCTCGTGCCCCTAATTCCTACTTTTCTGTTTTCTAATTCTGACTCTCTACATTATTTTAGCTTCAATACTATCCTTCTTCATAAGGTTAAGTAGAAGGTTGAAATTAGCCCCAAAGTTATAGATAACACAGGTTAAAAAAAAAACAAGCGGTGACTCATCTTTTATGATGTCTTACTGTTTACGATATGGCTTAGTCAGCCCAGGTCCAGGGTGGTACCACTGGCCATAAAAGATCAAAGAGACTCACAGAGTAACTGAAGGTGATTCTTTGATCTTACAATTGCTCCCTGGACACAATTACTCTTACACCCAGTTGGAGCCCTTACAGCCTGTAAAACACGATTAACATTCTAAGAACATGCCAGTGCCACAGTAGTGTTCTATAGCAGGTGAACAGGCAAAGCCGAACTCCAAAAATAATTCAAGCCCCACACACTGGCACATGCTCCACGAATCAGCACTGGGTAGAACCACGCGTTGCTGTTCTAACACAAGCAAAGGATTTGCAGTACCTGACGTTCGTGGCAGGATTCCCTGTGTCCAAATCTATAGCCGTGTATGTGCCAAGAACATAATTCAGTAAGGAATCTCCTCTTACTCCTTCTTGCACACTGAAAGTCATGGAGTTTGGATCAAATGTGGGTCCTTCTCGCACGTTAATGACCTGAATTCTCACAGGGGTTGAATGCATTCGGAATCGAGAGGCAACTGAGTGGTGAAATTCAGCTTGGTTTTTGACTCCAATGCTAAGATGAATATTAGGCATTTGTTCATAATCCAGCATCTGAAATGGTAGAAATTAAAAACTCTGACACAGCAAAAGATTTATTTTGACAGAATAAGAAACCATGGTAAGGACACAACGACACCAGCATAAAGTCCAGGAGTTATGCAATTCTGATTGTGAATTGATAAAATTTTATTTATTATGGCATGAGGTGTATTTCAGACATGTGATCCCCTTTATCTTTTAGATAATGAGGTGTATAGGTCATTTAGGCTTGTGAATTTAAATTGGACTCAAATCTGGAGTTTTGAACTTCATATATAAAAACCCTGGAATGAAAAATGATCTTTTTTTCCAAATGAGGTATTTATGACAAATAAAAAATAAAATTAGAATGAAGTAAAGAATGTCCATAGCTGTTAACTGAATACATAGGCCCGAGGTTCCTATGTAGAATTCACACCTGAGCATTTCTGAAAGTATAATCAACAGATTAAAGGAGCCAATATTAATATTTTTTTGTTAAAATTCTAGTTGAGTAGCAATTCCTCTCAAAGTCGAAGTGAATGCATATGTACACACATACATATATTTGTATTGTGTGTTAGTATTTCAATACATATTTATCAGTAAATAGCAAAAAGAAAGTTATTGACAGAAATTTTAAATTTTCGTTTTGTCTTTTAAAACTACAAGTTCCTTGAGAATGAAGATCATGTCCCATTCACTTTCATATCTGTAGCACATAACAATTCTCAATAAATTGGAGTTGAACTAAATCATTTATAATTCCCTCACACTAAGGAAAAGGTTATAGAAAGCTCAGTCAAAAGCCTTGACTGAGGGTGGCTTGAGTAAAGGTCATTGGTGACACCATTCCAAATGCCAAATCCTAGGGGAATTACACATACATGATCTAAGCACACAGTTCTTCCGGCTATGTGCTAACACACACATTAAGGGGTTTCACTCCATATTAACTAGCGTTGTCATATTATTTTGATGTCTTCAAGCATATTTTTCTGCTCTCTTTAAGAGACTTGGGAAGTTATGCAGGGAAAAAAAATAGATATTAATAGATATTTTGTCTACACAGCATCTAACACTACCTTAATCAATTTTCATAAATTGAATCCAATATATATTTTTTAAATATATTTTATTGATTTTTTTACAGAGAGGAAGGGAGAGAGATAGAGAGTTAGAAACGTCGATGAGAGAGAAACATTGATCAGCTGCCTCCTGCACATCTCCTACTGGGGATGTGCCTGCAACCCAGGTACATGCCCTTGACCGGAATCGAACCTGGGACCTTTCAGTCCGCAAGCCGATGCTCTATCCACTGAGCCAAATCGGTTTCGGCTGAATCCAATATTTTTATTTTTCAATAAACTAAGTATGTCTTTAGAACACTTTGACTCTCACAGAAGACAATTATATAAGTCATAGATGGTCATTGCATGAATTACTCTTTTTTTGTGTTCATTAGAATGACAAGCATAAAACGTAAAGGTTTTTTCCATAATTTTGATGACCACTTTATAAATTTGTGCACCACATGATTTCCATGCTAATGGTTGTGTTTCGTGGAAAAATAGTAATGTTTTAATTGCTCCAGACAATTTAAAAAACAGAGAAAGACTCAATATGTAAACGATATTTTTGTATTTCAAGGAGTCTAAATGGCTGATAAAAGTCTCACAGGAATAGAGAAAAGCAGTGACAACATTGAATGATCACCAGGGGTCAAACTAAATGTGTGTGCGCGTCTGTCTGTCTGTATGCTCATAGCTGGAAGTTCTGTCTATGTTGTTAGTAGTAATTGTGTTTGAGAAATTAATCTCCTTTGTTACATCGATGTTAATTTGAATCTTATTAGTTTGTAGTTTTGTTTCTAATTTGTACCTTCAGATTATATTGCCGCCCATTCAGTAAAAATGGAAAGTAGTTTGAGAAAAGCTAATCCATAGGAAAAAGCCAAGCCCTGTAGGTTGGTTTTCAAGTTTCTCACAGACTGGCTCCCACTCAGCATCTCCACTCCTGAGTCTCATTGCTTCTCTAGGCGGATACTCTGCATGGCTCCACAGAGGTGCTCACATGCCCTGAATGTGTATTACATGTTCTTCCCTGTATGTGTGCTCACTTCATTTCCCACCGGAGCAGTCTCCGTTGGAAGGCCCTGCTTAACTTATTCCCTGTATGGAATATTTTCAGACAGATCTAACTCAAAAGCATTCCCCCCTCTGATCTCAGTAATTCTCTCAGCTTTCACCCATTTAGCAATTGATTATGTTTTATATGACATCTGTACTACTATTTATTATGTTTTTTATAATATACTAGAGGCCCAGTGCATGAAATTTGTGCATGGGTAGGGTTCCCTAGCTGCTGCTGGCTGCTGGCCGTGGCCTCCCTTCCCCAGGCTGCCTGTCGCCACCGCCAGCTGGGGTGGGACTGGCCAGGGAGAGGGGTCGCAGGCAGTTGGCTGGCTTGCCCGCCCCCTGGTTGAACTCCCGGTCGAACTCCCGGTCAAGGGGACAATTTGTATATTAGGCTTTTATTATATAGGATTTTTATTGATTTCAGAGAGGAAGTGAGAGGGAGAGAGAGATAGAAACATCAATGATAAGAGAATCATTGATGGGCTGCCTCCTACACACTCCCTATTAGGGGTTGAACCCATAATCTGGGCATGTGCCCTAAATGGGAATTGAACCATGACCTCCCAGTTCATAGGTTGACACTCAACAGCTGAGCCATGCCAGCTGGGGTATTTATTATGTTTTTAACTCTCATATTATTTTCTAACATGGGGGTCCTTGTCTTGACTTCTCAACTACACATTGGACACTGTGAGAATGTGAGAACAAAATAGCCTTATTTTTCTTGGTAATAAATAATGTGTTGCTTGGCTGGTGGTCTCAGTAAGTAAGGAAGCTTACTTAGGACGCTTGTTCACAGAAACAGTATTCAAGGCTGTGGGTGGGTTGCTTTTTGTAGGCAGATCCTGTCTCTGAGAGTATTTTAAAACATCTTTAAAAGAAAAGGTTGCAGATCTCATACTGTACCTTGACGACTCTCAAAATGCCTTCATTGGTTCGTGGGTCTGTTTGAATCTCAAACCAATTCCCATCATTCCCGGAGAGAATTACATATTTTGCCAGCCAATTATCCGTGCCTTCCTCATCAAGATCAATGGCTTTTAACCTTATCAGTTCCGAATTCAAACAGTTCTCCTCAATGCTTGCTGAGTACTGAGTGACACAGACCAATTTTGTAGTCAGTGAATTTTCAAAAGAGGAAAGTTAGCTTCAAATCCTGAATTATCATTTACAATACTAACAACAAACTGTGTCAGAGATTTCTGTGTCATTATTAAATGACATATATTCAACAAGAAATCTAAGAGTAAAGTGATTTTCATGTGCTATCTGTAAAACTAGGGCCAGACTGCATTGTTTCATTTTCCTTGTTTATTTTTCATTTTCCATACCTTCCTCCTTTTCTATAAAAGGCCAGATAGTAAATATATTAGGCTCTGTAGGCCTGAGATTAGTGCTGTAACTACTCATTTTTGCTGCTGTAGCATTACAACAGCCACAGACAACACGTAAAGGAATAAGTACCACTGTGGTCCAATAGAAAAAATATTTTTTACCAAAACAAGTGGCAAGCAGATTTGGCTCTGCTGATTTTGATTTTATGCTTCTTTCTGCCTAAGTCTGAAAGTGGAAGTTGAGAATGTTTGGGACTCTGTTAGAACTGATTCAGTAAATCATCAGGCATATACAATCCATCAACATTGTTATAGGATTCCCAGAATGATATTAATAAATTCCTACACTTCTTCAAATGGAATATATGGAGGATATTGGTCTATTGTTTTCACAGAGGAGATCATTATGGAATAGTGAGTGACTCAAAGGCAAATACCCCAAATTAAGATTCATTATTATACATAAAAAAATGTCGAGGTTTATATAGTAAAGCTGAGTACATCCATACATGTAAAAGAACCACAACTAGTGGGAATGTAAATTGATGATTGACATTTATGTAAAAGGGATGATAAGAGAAACAGCTTACGGAAGTTCTCTCTAAGGTGGGGAAATTATCGTTGACATCTAAGACCTGGATCCTACAGGCGCACTCAGAGGAGAGTCCATCTGCAGCTCCGTCTCGGTCCGAGCCCCGCACGAGGAGGTTGTACATGCTGTGCTCCTTGATTAAGATGAAAAAGAGTTGTAAGACTTAGGTCTTCATTGGAATAAAACCCAACACATTCTCATGTCATTATTCCCCCATTCTTTTATAATTTTATATAATATATTAATATAATTTTTAATCTATATAATTTTCATTTAAAATAATGTTTGGATTCTTTTTCCTTCCCCCCTTTACACTGGACGAAGGGCATACATGCATTATTTCATCTCCGTATTTTCAAAACTGTATCCTTTATTTCTTTGCATTCATTCCCGGAAGGCTTTACCTCTCTGTCGAGGAAGCTGGACATGGTGCGGACCTCGCCGGTGTACCTGTTCAGGATGAACATTGGTGCACCTGCTGGCTCCTGAGAGATGATCTTGTAGGCGATTTTAGAGTTCAGGTGATTGTCTTCATCTGCATCGGTGGCACTTAACTTTACTACCAGTGTGTCTAGAAATGAAGATGGAGATGGAGAGTGTTGGGGACTCTGTTAAAATCAATTTGGTAAATCAGCAGGCAAAGGAAGAAAGAATGGTTGGCCTTCTCCTGCTGGCTCTCTCTTCTAGTTATCCATGAGCATGGACAGGGTGGGGCAAAAGTGGGTTTACAGTTGTTTGTATGGACAGTCATATAATCTCTCTATATAAAAACGTTAAGTGACCTGTCGACCATTTGACCCGTTGACCACTTGACTGGTCGACCAGTCGCTGTGATGCTCACTGACCACCAGGGAGCAGACAATCAATGCAGGAGCTTCCCCCTGGTGGTCAGTGCGCTCCCACAGCGGGAGTGCTGCTCAGCTGACTGGGATGAGTGGGGCTGGGATGGGCAGGAGCAGCTCCTCCACAGATCCCCACAGGTTACGCCGAGGGACCCCACTGGTGCACAAATCTGTGCACTGGGCCTCTAGTAACTAATAACTAATAATATAAGAATAAACTGTGTTTCACGTACTCACACCTATGAACCTACTTTTGCCCCACCCTGTCTTACTATAACTTTAGCTACACCATTAATGACAAAAATCATAGTGATTTGCTTCTTAAAACACTTTATAAAGTACTTGCACTCCTTAAATGCTTTAAATTACGTATATTTCAATCTCCTAAAGCTGTGTCCTAGAGGAATAGAAGTGGCACAATGCAGAGAAGGAGATTGGTCTACTCACTTGCATCGCTGTTTTCTTCAATGCTGCCTGTGTACACATTTTGTGTAAAGACTGGAGGGTTGTCATTTATGTCCATCACTTTGACTCTAAGCTCAAGAGGCCTTTCTAAGTCTTCACCCCGTGCATTCAGAGCCCGGCAATAGATCTGTGGAAAGTTGGAAAAAACCTGTCTTTCTCCACCAAAGGAAATTCAGTTACGTGCTTGAAAATATATAAGGAAACGTGCAGGGAAACAATTTTCTCAGTCAATTGAGACTACTTTTACAGTCTAGTAATTTAAATATTGTCAAGACATTTGATCATGTGCTTATATAATACGCCAGAGAATTCTGAACCATAATCTATTTTCATACTCTTCCTACCTCCTCAAGCCCTTTATTCAGTTTCATTCTGCCGTGTTTTATCAGAAGGAGGCATTAGTCCTGGGATGAATTTTTTTTTAAGGCATGAAAAATAATACGTGTAAATCAAAGCACACTGCTGTGACTTACCAGGAAAAGTGGAGTTATCTCTCTGTCCACCACGGAGGTGATGTTAATTTCCCCCGTCTGAGGATTAATGGCGAACACTCCGTATGGTGGCCGATCAATGCCTACCCCAGAGATGCGGTACGTAATCTTCTGGCTCACTTCGCAGTCTGATCGGATCTATGAGAAAGCGGCGAGGATTTAGGGCGGATATGAACTTCACAGGGTGGTGGAACGAGGAGGGAAAGGCTCTGCAGCCAGATAGGTCTTATATTGAAACCCGGCACCATGACATAGGCCTGTGTGACCTTGGAAAATGCACTTAATTTTGTCAAGTACTGGTTTGTAATGGGATAATACAACTTATGTCCCAGGCTTGTTGTGGGGATTGTATGAGGTAACATGTATACTCCCCACCCCATGACTGACATAGGGCACACCCACGTCTGATGCTAGATTTGTTATTATTAACGTTACGTTGTTCATGTCTCTGATTTGTTTTGCACATAGAGAAAATGTTTAACAGAAGAACTCAGAATCTTTACTATTTTGTAAGAAGACTGTTGTATTAATATGTACTCTGCTTAGACTTGGATTTGAGATTCAATCAAAATGGTAGATATCAGAAGAGAAATACAGTGTTTAGAGATATTGGCAATAATTTTTTAAGTCAAAACTTAACATATCACTCACTTGCCAAACATAGTTTATGACACATATTCTGCTATCTAGATTATATTTTCATAGGTATACATCTATGGCTCATAAATTTAAACAAAGGTAGTTTAAAATTGGAAATCTAACCTATATACTAAAGATGAGAACACTCAATAAAATACTAAGACTTGTTACCCACATATCCACAATTAAGTAAAGGCAGCTAGAAATGCAACTTGGATGAGCTCCACTCCAGTCCAAAGATCTTATTTATGTAAACGAAAATCCAGGAAATCCCTCAAATGCAAATATATAGGAGAGAATATGCAATACCAGCGGGTAATATAAAGCTGTAAATGTGAGTTGAATGGGAACCATATCAATTTAAAAGCTTTCCAAAACTTTGAAAACATCTGAGAGAGAATAGATCTCTTTTCTTGAGCTGAGACTATGTCTGTAATATTACTGCTGCTGCCGCCTGTAGTTGATGTAAAGCCTTACGGAAGGAGTTCTGATAAACCACTACCCTTGATTGCAATAGGGGCCCGAGGCCGAGAGGCCTGGAAAGAGCTAGCGAAGCTGTTCATGCGGATCCTGCCCTTCATGGGTCAACTTATGACATATTCTTCCTCAACGCTCCTTCCTTATTGAGAGCCACTCTTTGAAATAGCGTTTAGGCTCTCCGAGCTTCTGGACCTGGTGAGACTGTCGGGCTGGTCAGGAGAATGTTGGTGTATGCAGGCATGTCCTAGAGCGGGCGGGTGAGGAGAAGCAGACCTGTGTATGCAGGCATGTCCTAGAGCGGGCGGGTGAGGAGAAGCAGACATGTGTATGCAGGCATGTCCTAGAGCGGGCGGGTGAGGAGAAGCAGACCTGTGTATGCAGGCATGTCCTAGAGAGGGCGGGTGAGGAGAAGCAGACATGTGTATGCAGGCATGTCCTAGAGCGGGCGGGTGAGGAGAAGCAGACATGTGTATGCAGGCATGTCCTAGAGCGGGTGGGTGAGGAGAAGCAGACCTGTGTATGCAGGCATGTCCTAGAGAGGGCGGGTGAGGAGAAGCAGACATGTGTATGCAGGCATGTCCTAGAGCGGGCAGGTGAGGAGAAGCAGACATGTGTATGCAGGCATGTCCTAGAGCGGGCGGGTGAGGAGAAGCAGACCTGTGTATGCAGGCATGTCCTAGAGAGGGCGGGTGAGGAGAAGCAGACCTGTGTATGCAGGCATGTCCTAGAGCGGGCGGGTGAGGAGAAGCAGACATGTGTATGCAGATGTGTTCTAGAGCAGGTGGGTGAGGAGAAGCAGACATGTGTATGCAGGCATGTCCTAGAGCAGGCAGGTGAGGAGAAGCAGACATGTATATGCAGATGTGTCCCAGAGCAGGCGGGTGAGGAGAAGCAGACATGTGTATGCAGATGTGTTCTAGAATGGGCAGGTGAGGAGAAGCAGACATGTGTATGCAGATGTGTTCTAGAATAGGCGGGTGAGGAGAAGCAGACATGTGTATGCAGATGTGTTCTAGAACAGGCGGGTGAGGAGAAGCAGACATGTGTATGCAGATGTGTTCTAGAGCGGGCGGGTGAGGAGAAGCAGCAGATGGACGGACAGAGCCCAGTGGTGCTGGAGACCCAGGTCTCTCCCCAATCCCTCAGGCGCCTCAGCTCTGTAGCAGTTCCCAGAACATGAGAGGCAAAGGGGGGCCTCCGCAGCCCAGGCAGGAGACGCCCCCGCCCCGGCACCCCTGCCGGTGGAGCAGTGGAGCCTGCAGGGCCTGGGATGCTGAGGCTGCCCGCCCTCCAGGGCCTGCAGTGTGGGCGCAGGGCGACCCGTGATGCATCCCTTACCCTGGCGATGGGGTTCCGCTTGGAGTTGTCCTCTCCTTCTCGACACGCCGCCGCGAACTTGATCCATTCGCGCTTCTGTCTCCTGACAGTTTGCCACTTGGTTGTGCCCTTTTCCACGTCCAGTTCTTTCACCTGGAGCGGAAGCAGGCACATTGCAGAGCGTCAGGACAGTTTTCCTTCGCAAGGACATCTGCTCAGCACGGTAGGGAACACCCAGAAGAAGCCACGGCATTGAATTTGAGGAACAAAAAGTGTTTTTACCACCTTATCCCTCTAGGTGGGTGGAGCTTGGGCAGCCTCAGCAGCTACTTCTCTCTGGAATCGTCTCACTGCTAACTGTATGATTCTATGAAACACATTTTGTTGGCTAAGTGTGGAGCTCGTAATGTTCTACTGGATAATAGGCGTATGTGGTCTTTCTTCTTTCAATCTGTCCACTGATTAGCAGACATTGGTCCACAGCATCCATGGACACATCTGGATTATGCCACAAGGTCCTTGATATTTGGCCTGGTCAGTCCAAAAGCATTCCTGGGGGGGCGGGTCTAAGCTGACCCATCTACCTTCCCCCATGCGCCAGTGCCAGCTGGGCTGCCAAGGCAAGAGGGTTATTATGGGTAATGCAGCCACAACACAGTAAATAGACTAATAAAATATGGTCATACTTTATGTATTAATCCTGTAAACCAACAGCATAAATAAGTGTTAGGGGCTGTTGGAACCCAGGAGTGTTTCCTAAGCTTGGACAGGACCGCATATCGAGGTCCGGTTGGCATGGACCACGTATGCTCAGTGGCGTTCTGGGTAGGACCACATTGTAAGGACCACTTGGTGTGGACAGATGTGTCAGTGGCTATGGCGGACAGGACCAAGTGTTTCAGTAGGTGGGGACCTTGCCCACCTCACCCTCCATGGAGCTCTGACCAGGCTGTCTGGTCTCCAGAGGTTAACAGCTGCAGCTGCTCCAGGTGAGTGCATCCCTGAGAGGCTGTGCTGGTGAGTGTACCTGACTCAAGAGAGGACAAGTGCTGCTTTTCTGTTGGTAAGGACGCCACTCTGGCTATGTATCCAGGTAGACTGTTGCAGATCAGAAGACTGTTTTAACTGAAATGATGGTAACCACCATAATCCCATGGACACCTATATGGATTCTCAGTGCTATCTATGTGTTTTCATAGTCTCTGCTTGCTATGTGTTTTTATAGACTTAATTGCTGTTGTTGGAGGGTGTTTAAGAGTTTTATATATTAAAGACTTCAGCAATGTTACTACATGCATGAACATTTTTGTGTACATGTATAAACATGCACACACACATCTATATTTTTGTAACTCTTTATGTACTTGTTGAGACATTGATAATTGTATGTTTGTTTTAGCTAAGGCTTCATTTAATTACCACTTTGGGGGGAGGAGCTGCTCCATGCGAATGGAGCTTATACTTTCAGGAACCAAAGCATTTACATTTTTCTCCATTTTGATGCAACTTCCTAAAATGTACCACCTATTGTCTATTTTGTCAACAAAGATCACACAGTGATTATATTTTCTCCCATTATTTGATATTATCAGAATGAAAATGTAACCGCTATAATAAAGTCCTCCCAGAGGAGATAGCTTTACTTTCCCAGTCCCACTCTAAATGGTCCTGGGTTCTGTGGTTCTATTTAGTTGTGGTTACAGATATTTTTGCTTTTGTATTTTTTCCTCACTGATTAACCATACAATTATGCTGATGTAATTGTCTAAAACTCCTCTTCCCATTCTAACGTGTTACTTTACTTTTTTTGCTTTGCCTTAGGTTGGGAAACATAAATAAGCTACTAGTAAAGTTTGATAAGCAGGAGTTACTATGACGCTGACCTGTCACAAACCTTGCCTAAAGCATGGACATTTAAAATTATGGCTTTCAAATATCGCTGTTTTCAAATATTCTGATTTTTGATATATTATGCATTACATGACTCAGTTTCTCTTTCCATTCTAAATTGAGTAGGTAGTTTTAATAATTATACATTACCTCAACAATAAATTCACTGTTTACTTCCAACACCACCTGTTATAGAAGATACAGCATTAGCATAAATTTGCATAGTTTAAAGGAAGTCAAGTCATGAAATTATTGACAGTGTTCTCTGATTAATTCATTTCTTAAACACACATTTTGCTAGTGATATGGAATAAACATGGGTAACACAATATTAATAGTACAGGTTTTCCCCCACAGAGGCTTTTAAACTTTTAAGGAAGCAAACACATAGCTACAGGAAAGTTAGTGTGTGTGCTTCAGCGGGGGCACCCAGGGGCGCAGCGGAAGGAAAAGCAGACAACTCAGGTTACCCAGTGAGTTTCAGGAGGGCCGCAGAGGAGAGTGGGGGTGAAAGCGGTCTGCAGGATGAAGCTACTCTGAGAAGAGAAATTGATGGGGACAATTTTCAGCCAGAATAAAACATGAACACAGGTGTAAGGGCATCCTCTACGTTTCCCAGGATGCCCCAGGAATGGGAAGTAATATTATCAGCTGGAAAGAAGAGGAAATAGCAAGGGGATGCGGGAGACAAGGTTAGGAATGGCAGGTTGGAGGCAGATCATGAAGTGTTTTATATACCAACTAGGGAGTGGGGGCTTCACTGAATAAAATACAGGGTTTGACAGTAACACCTTTTAAAAAACACATCACTGATATGAAGGGATGGTTACAAGGGAAAAGTACTTGAAGTCCAGACACTTAAGAATGAGCAGTTGCTGGGTAAGACACAGTTAGAACATGAACATAGGGCTGACTGGAAAGGAGAGAGAATGGAGACATTGCCAAGGAACTAATAGGACTTGTAGATTGTGGGTACAAGGAGAGGATGTAAGTTAAGTTGGCTTATTGGGACAACAGGGTACTTTTAATAATAACAGAAAATTTAACAGGAGAGGGTCACTGCAGGGAGATGATGCCGAAGTCTTCATTAATTAATTAATTAGTTAATCTTATTCTAAAATTTGGGGTAGACATAAAAGATGAAGAAGTGGAAATTTATTTAAACAGGAGTGCTATTTAAAGTTGCAGGAGGTGAGGGTAGTCCATTAAAAAGTTTAAGAAGATCAATAAAGTAGTCAGAGAACAGACTCTTATAGGAAATGCTTATATTGTGCAGGGGACAGAAGAAAGAAGTCTAAGCAGAGAATAGAGAGGGCAGGGGACCAGGTTTGTGGGTGCAGAGCAGCTTTTGTCCACACAAAAAGGTCAGAAGTGGCAGGGCGGTGGCTGTGGTTGTGGTTGTGGTTGTGGTTGTGGCTGTGGTGGTGGTTGTGGCTGTGGTTGTGGTTGTGGTTGTGGTTGTGGCTATGGTTGTGGTTGTGGTTGTGGCTGTGGTGGTGGTTGTGGTTGTGGATATGGTGGAGGGTTAGTCAGCAGGCTGAATTCAGAAAGAAGAGATGCAGATGGAGAAGAAGTAGCCAGAAAAGAGGCAGGATGAGTGGCAGGCAGGGATAAGAAGTTAGCTGAAGAGGAACAACTTAATGGTTCATGTTTCGTAGCAAGGTCAAGGAGATTGGGAGCTGAGACGTCCTGGGGGTTTGCGCAGGCAGTCAGTGCGAACTTGTGCAAGTGGCATCAGTCAGATTGCAGGAGTCAAGGAAAAGCTGTTGAGAAAGTACACATAGCAACCATACATGACATTTTCAAGTTAGCAGTTAAAAGACGTGAGAGAGATGATGCAATTTGAGGAGTTAATGAAATCAAGACATATTTTTTAGGTTGGGGAACCATGACCAAATATACAGTCCACAGGGAGAGGAAAAGGGGTTTGTGGAGAAAGAATGGTAGATGGAGATGAGGGAAAGGGAGGGGAAGAGGAGGCGGAAGTCAAGGAGCTACAAGTGTAATCTAAGAGAGCATGGGAATGGTTAATCACAGCGCAGGGCAGCACAGTACAGGTAGTGCTTGTGGAGCTGGGCACCTGCAGCCCGTATGGTTTTGTTAACCGGTGTCATCCCAATTCATTCAATCAAAAGGAAACAATAGCAGTGCAAGGAGGGGCCCTGGTCATGAAGAAGACAGTCTCTTCCTCTGAAACAGAAGCCGGAAGGACACTATGAAGAGAGAAAAGCATTGTGAGGTGTAAGAGCAGGATAACTTTTACATGGCTTTTCTGAATCGGAGTGAGCAGGGATGGGGAAGGCGGGGGGGCGGGAGGAGACAGTCAAAAGAGAAGTGACAGGAAACCAACAAAATGCCACGAATCAGAGAGGAGCAGCAGGCTCACCCAGCGTTCCTGAGTGAGGGAACACTGGGCACAGAAAATTAGAAATAGAGAAAATAATCTATTATTCCGTAGCGGACAGCCAGTGTGAGGACCAGTTGGCTTGGGAAGTCTGTCCTGCTCCTTTTCTAGCGGAGCTCGGCGACCTGCTGTGCGAGGAGAGGACTGTGAGGGCTGTCCCGGGGTGGAGGTTGCTGTCAAGGTGGAGTGGGGACTGGGGAGGTGATGAGCTACCACTGCGAGCTCCAGAGAGCCAGGGAGCAGAGTAAAACCAGGCCACTCCAGTGGACTGAGATGAGGGAGACCCTGGACCAGGTGGAGTGGGTGCAAAGCGGATTTCGCAGATGTGGGGGCGGGGGACGGTATAAGAGAGGGTGAAGGGTATGGGTGGGGATTTGGAAGGACAGCTGAGCCCAGAAGAAGGGAAAATCAGCGATGAGAAATGTGGCATTAGGGCCCAGTGTTTCCACTTCACTCTTTTTCTCCCTCATGTGTAAATTTATTAGACATTAGAAAACTAGCTACACCAGGAAAAGAAATTCAATATTTAATAGGAGGTGGTCTTATTTGGTGGCATAGGGTGTTTTATTTCATAATAAATATTGCCTTTGGGGTTTAGATATTCTTTTGGTTAAAAAAGTAGATGATTCTGGAAAGTATAAGGAAAAGTAAAAATCACATAGAATCTGACCACTTGGAGATCATCATTGTTAATATTTGGAGATTTTTAGAATTTGTCCTTTTCAAAAACACATACTTAGACAAATTATAATATTTTTGTATTCATTCATTCTTTCATCAGTTTTTTAAAAATATATTTTATTCATTTTTCACAGAGAGGAAGGGAGAGGGATAGAGAGTTAGAAACATCGATGAGAGAGAAACATGGATCAGCTGCCTCTTGCACACCTCCTACTGGGGATGTGCCCGCAACCAAGGTACGTGCCCTTGGCCGGAATCGAACCTGGGACCTTTCAGTCTGCAGGCTGACGCTCTATCCACTGAGCCAAACTGGTCAGGGCAACAAATTATAATTTTTTAACCCCAAATAAATGATATTATCTGCACAATTTAGTAATCTCTTCCACTCAGTTATTATCACAGTAAAGTTTCATGTCAAGGAGTACATGTCGACATCATACATTTAAAAAATATTTTTGTTACCTTCTCCTGAGGACATGTTTTTCCATTGTTTTTCAGAGAGAGTGGAAGGGAGGGAGGGGGAATATAGATGGATAGACAGACAGACATATTTGGGAGAGGAGAACCAGCTCAATCCTTCAACAGAATGACTTACGCAAAGTATATACATGTGGAAGCTGCGTAACTAGTAAGTGATTCCTTTAAAACTACTGTACACGTCTGCCTTTGAAGTGCTTATGTATGTCAGGGCTATCTGTGCTCCAGTTTGAAGACTATTGTCGTAGTTCTTTTAAATTGGTGTATGTTTCTAAGATAATTTATATCTTAAAGTGGATATACAGTCCTAAATTATGGATTAGCTTTATTAAAAGCAATGAGCTATAGACATGACTACTTTAGACTTGGGAGCAGAAGAACTGAGTATGAGTCTTGACTCCGTTTGGCAGATGTGACCTTGGATCAGTCCCCTACCCGCTCTCTGATTCAGGTTCTGATCTAAGGAGAGTAAACATGTGAAAGTACTAGGTCTATAAAGAGGAAAGAAGAGACGGAAGAGTTTTCCTCCGTGCATCAGAGGGTGTACTCACAGCACATCCTAACACAGAAGAGTGCCAGTCAGTCATTGTGAAAGCTTGGGACTGGCCTCAGCACTTCTAGAGGGAGGCTGGGGGGTGGGGGTGGTGGTGAATGGAGGGATGGGTGAGAAGGGTGCAGGGGAATATCGTCAATGATAGTGTGATAACTGCCCGGGGACAGGCGGTTACTAGACTCAGTGTGGTGAGCACATCATCAATTACATAAACGAATATAATATTGTATGCCAACTAGACTTTAATAAAAATAATAATTAAATGCTTCTGCCTTGAAGGGAAAAAAAAGAAAAAAGAAAGAAATTAACCACATCAAACAGATTAGTGCTCAGTTTGAAAGAATAAAGGAAGTGCTTTGAGTTCACATGACCTTCCTCCTGTCCTCTCTTCAGAACCCCTGTGAACAGGATAGCAACATCCAGCCCTGAGATTCCGAGTCTAAGCTCTTTCCCCTCCATTGCTGTCCCTGGTGTTTCTCAGGGAGGTGGTGGTGGGGTGGGGGTGGGGGGGTGGGGGAGAAGGGGGGCTGATTGCAGTGCCTGCCAGGGTTTGCCTCGCAGACAGGCGTGGTGCCTGAGGGAGCCTGTGCGCTACATACATTCTGACGTTTCTACCGATGACAGTGCCAGCAGCCCAGCCCTCCACACCGCCTCCCTTTCTGGCAGGTCTCACTGAAGGAACTGGGCTGGTTTTATTCTCGACCCGTGAAACCAGGAGCCCTGTCAGGAGGCTCCACTCCCCGGGAACCGCCTGGGAGCGGGTGTGCGGAAGAAACTCGGTGACATCATCTTCCGAAGTTGCACTGCATTAGCTGCACGAACCTCCGTGAAACTGCAGAACAGCGACGGGTTCCTGGGTAAATGCAGACACTCCTTGCCTTTCAAAGTCACCTTTTAAAGCTTATGCCGGTCACGTACCATCCGAGGATGGGGCTTGGCCTGAGAACCCGGCTACAACACGGCACATGACACAGGGCTGACCCCATCACAGGCGTGGAGACAGGAAAGAGGCAGAGGCACTGCAGGGAGGGAGCAGATTATCCCCGAGAGATGCTGGTACCCTGAGTGGTC